GGTGTACCAAATTCCATTTCCACCGGCAATGAATGAGGATTTCATGTAGCTTCACACATTCACCAATATTTGGTGTTCTGAGTGTTTTGAGGTTTATCCATTTAAGAAGAGTTTAATGATACCTCGTTCTTGCCTTATTTGCAGTTTCCTAATAACATTTGATGAGGAGCATGTGTTCATATTGCTTATTTTCCATCTGCATATCTTCAGTGAGCCTTCTGTTCAGATCTTTTGCCCATTTTCTAATTGGTTGTTTGTCTTCTGACTGTTGAGTTTTAAGAGTTCTTTGGATATTTCTGAAACCACTCATTTATCAGATAAGTGCTTTACAAAGATTTTTCTCTTACTCTGTAAATTGAGTTTTTATTCTCTTAAGATTGTATTTCTCAGAGCAGTAGTTTTTCATTTTGATGAAGAAAATTCTGGGTTTTTTCTTTTGTGGAGCCTGAGTTTTGGTTTTGTGTCTAAAAATTCATCTCCAAACACAAGGTCTTCTAGATTTTCTCCTATGTTATCTTCTCAGAGTTTATTCCTTTGGTGTTTTACCTTTAGATCTGTGATGTACTTTGACTTAATATTTGTGAAAGGTGTAAGGCCTGTATCTACATTCATTTTGTGTGTGTGTGTGTGTGTTTGTGGATATCCGTTATTTCCACCACTATCTGTTTAAAAGATTTTCACTTCCATTTTTTTATTGGGGTCATAAAAGTTTACAACATTGTGAAATTTCAGTTGTACATCATTTTTTCAGTCACCATAAAAATGTGCCCCTTCACCCCTTGTGCCCACCCCCTAATACCCTTTCAACTGGTAACCACTAATCTGTTCTTTTTGTCTGTGTGTTTAGCACCTACGTATGAGTGAAATTATATGGTGTTTGTCTTTCTCTGTCTGGCTTATTTCACTTAACATCATACCCTCAAGGTCCATCCATGTTGTTGCAAATGGGACATTTTTGTCCTTTTTTATGGCTGAGTAGTATTCCATTGCACATATATACCACATCTTCTTTATCCAATCATCAGTCGGTGGGCACTTGGATTGCTTCACCCTCTTGGCTCTTGTGAATAGTGCTGCAGTGAACATAGGAGTGCATAAATCTTTGTATTGTTGATTTCAAGTTCTTTGGGTAAATACCCCATCTTGGGATAGCTGGCTCATATGGTATTTCTATTTTTAATTCTTTGAGAAGTCTCCATTCTGTTTTCCATAGTGACTGCACCAATTTGCATTCCTACCAGCAGTGTACGAGCATTTTCTTTTCTCCACAACCTCTTCAACATTTGCTATTTTTTTGTCTTGGTGATTATAACCATTCTAATTGGTGTAAGGTGATATCTAAGTGTACTTTTGATTTGCATTTCCCTGATGATTAGTGATGTTGAACATCTTTTCATGTGACTATTGGCCGTTTGTATATCTTCTTTGGATAAATGTCTGTTCATATCCTCTGCACATTTTTTGATTGGGTTGTTTGTTTTTTTGTAGTTCAGTTGTGTGAGTTCTTTATATGTTATGGAGATTAACCCCTTGTCAGATACATGATTTGTAAATATTTCCTCCCAGTTAGTGGGTTGTCTTTTCATTTTGTTCCTGATTTCCTTTGCCTTCCAGAAGCTCTTTAGTCTGATGAAGTCCAACTTGTTTATTTTTTCTTTTGTTTCCCTTGTCTGAGTGGACATGGTATTCAAAAAGATCCTTTTAAGACTGATGTCAAAGTGTACTGCTGGTATTTTCTTTTAGATGGTTTACGGTTTCAGGTCTTACCGTTAAGTCTAAAAGACTTTCATTTCCATTTTGAGTGCAGTTCTTTCTTTGTCAAAGATCAGTTGACTATATCTGTGTGGGTCTATAAGGAAAGCAATTAACTCATGTCTCCTTCAACTTTGCTTTATTTGCTTATTAATTCCGGGATTTGTTTCCAGTGGTGGGAATTCCTTCAGATGTTTCACAGAGACAATCATGCCATATAGAACAAATGTTATGAATTTAGCTACAAGATTCATAAAGTTGTTCCTTCTCAAGAAGTGGAAGTTCCCCTCTATTACTAGTTTGTTATCATAAATGGATGTTGGATTTTGTCAAATCCTTTTTTATTTTTGATACCAATCCTGGTATCAATTTCCCTACATTAAGCCCAGCATATATGGGGTTAAAACCAAAACACTCATTCCCTGCTTACTCCCTGGCTTCCTGGCTCCAGAATCCACTATCCTCCATGGAGACAGACACCGCCAAGGACAAGCACCTGGATTCATTATCTCCTCCCGGCAAAGAGACACAGGCTGGTGGGAAAGCTCTGACCAGCAAGGCCATACGCTCGCCTCCCCCTACCTAAAACCCCAAAGACAAACCCTTCCTTTTCGCTTTTCGAGGAGCTTGGGATTTCAGCATTAGCTGCCCTCGCTCCTTGCTCAGCACTGTGCAGTAATAAAGTGCTACTTTCTTCCACCACACTGGGTGTCAGAGATTGGCTTGCTGCGCAACAGGTGAGTGAACTCCCTTCAGGTTCAATGTCATTTTCATTTCCCAGTCCTTTCTGATATTAGTAATTTCTGTCTTTCATCTTTTCTTTGTTATCCTGACTAGATGTTTATCAATTTTATTAGTCTTGTCAAAGAAAAAGCTTTAAAAAATTTTCTCCATTGATTCCCAAGATGACGTTGATTTATTTTCTAATTTTTATTATTTCTTTTATTGTGCTTACTTTGGGTTTAATTTACTCTTCCTTTTATTGTTTCCTAAAGTAGATGCTTTCATTATTGATTATAGATCTTTGGTTTTTCTAGTGTATTTGTTCAATGTCATAAATTTCCCTCTAGACACTGCTTTTGCTGCATCAAGAACCTTTGGTATATTGTTTTTTCATTTCATTTAGTTCAAAATAATTTTTTATTTCTCTGGAGAGTTCTTGTTTTATCCTATGTATTATTTAGAGGTGTGTTGTTGAATCTCCACATGTATGGGGGTTTCCCAGCTATCTTGCTGTTATTGACTTCTGGATGAATGCCTACGTGGTGTGAGAGCATGTTTTGTGTGATTTCTGTTGTTTCAAATTTGTTAAGGTTTGCTTTATGTCCCAGAATGTGGTTTGTCTTGGTGAATGTTGGATGTAAACTTGGGAAGAATGTATATTCTGCTGCTGTTGCATGAAGTATTCCATAGATTACAATGAAATCCACTTGTTTCACAGTGCTGTTCAGTTCACCTCTGTCCTTGCTCATTTTCTTCCTACTGGGATTTATAATTCATGGTAAGAGGATGTTGAATTCCCCAACTATTGTACTAGATTCATCTATTTCTACTTGCGTTCAATCAGCTCTTGCCTTATGTATTTCACCCCTCTGTTGTTGTGCACATACACGTGAAGGATTACTGTGCCTTCTTGGAGAATGGACCCATTTATCAGTATGTAATGCCCATCTTTATCTCTGGCACTTCCTTGGTTTGAAATCTGCATTGTCTATAAATCACATACCTCTGGCAGCTTTCTTTTACTCTGTGTTAGCATGGGTATTTTTCTCTATCCCTTTACCTTTCATCTATCTGTGTTTTTATATTGAAAGTGGGTTTCCTGTAGACAGTATATAACAGTTTGTTTTTTAAAAATATGATATTACTATATCATTCAATTATATTGAGACCATTGATGATTAAAGTTGTTATTGACACAGTTGGATTAATATTGAGTACCTCTTTTACTGTTTTTTATATCTTTCTCTTGTTGTTTGTTTCTTTTTTTCTTCCAGCTTTTTTCCAGCTTCGCTGGCTGAATTGAGCATTTTATTTGATTTTTTTCTCCGCCTTTAGCATATCAATTACTCATTTTTTAAAAAACTCTTTTGGTGGTTGCCCTTGAGTTTTCAGTTCACATTTACAAGTAACCCACTTATTCTGCCAAATGACACTGTACCACTTCACTGTGTGTAAGTACCTCAACACACTATTTCCAGTTTCCCCTCGCTATGCCTTGTCACATTGCTGTTATTTATTTCACTTGTCAATAAGCTTCTCAGTACCAAGTCCATTGTTGGGTAATATTATTTTAAACACAGTGTCATCTGTTATATTAATTATAAATATACAAATATTTTACCTTCATTTTTTCCTTTTCTAATTGTCTGCCTTTATCATTTATATTATTTCTGATAAATTTTTGAACATTTCATTCAGAGTAAGGGTACTCATGACGAATTTACTCAATTTTTGTCTCAGGAAGTCCTTATTTATCCTTTATTTTTTAAGGATAATTTTCCTTGACTGGAATTCTAGGAGAGTGGTTTTTTATTTCCAACACTTTAAATATTTCAGTCTACTCTGTTCTTGTTGCATAGTTTTTGAAAAGAAGCCCAATTTAATTCAAATCTTTGTTTCTTTATGTCTAAGGTGTGTTTCTTCTGTTGCATTTCTCAATATATTCTCTGTCTTTCATTTTTCTCTAGTTTGAATATGATATCCTTAGGTGTGCAGTTTGTAGTTTAACATACTTACTGTTCTCTGAGCTTCCTGGATGTACAGTTTGCTGGCTATCATTAATTTTAAGATATTTAGTGACTATTACTTCACTAGTTTCTTCTATTACTTTCTTTTTGTTCTTTCAGGTATTCCCATTATGTATATTTTATACCTGTTAAAGAGGGTTGTTCTAGGATTCATGGATATTGTCTTCAATCTTTTTATTTCTTTTTGTCTAATAATGATATTTGTTCCATTGTATAGCATTTCTGTCATTTCAGAACATGCCCTTGAACCTGCCATTATAGAGAAATATGATGAGATGTGATCAGAGTAAATATCTGTAAACAATTTCCATGTGTTCATGATGCTGTTAAATTGATAGGGAAGTGTGTACAGAAAAATTGTGAGTTTTTGATGATCACATCATAGAATAAATGTTTGGAGAAGACACAATCATATGTAACCTTCCTGAAAATGGAGTATGGATGTCCACTGCTGTCAGGCTCATGTATCCTACTTTACACATATTTGCGGTGTTTTAGGACTCAGTGGCCATTGGGGACGTGGCTGTGAACTTCACCCCTGAGGAGTGGGCTTTACTGGATCCTTCACAGAAGAGACTCTACAGAGATGTGATGGAGGAAACCTTTAGGAACCTGGCCTCAGTAGGTAAGAATGAGGACACTCCTTCACTGCATCACTGAGAGAACAAGTGTTTCTTGACCATCAAAGTTGTTCCAAGATGTAGAACGTAGAAAGGCGAGATGTTGAAAAATAAGCTGAGAAATGGTCATAGCTCATCATGGTCTTAGAATCTAAACATTCTTCTACAATTTCTAAGATTTTGGAACCAACTTTCTGGATCTGCATTTCAGGAAAAACATGGGAAGATCATGGTATTGAAGATCAGTATAAAAACCAGGGGAGAAGACAAAGGTGAGTCACACTCACAATAGAAAGCAATGTCTCGTGTGAGAATCCTGTTATGTTATGAAATTTTAAAAAGATATAAACAAGACAAATAACCCTTGGTTCAAATTTAGTGATTCTTAGAAAATTTTCACCACATACACTTTCTGAAATGTGATGTAGAGGTTCAGTTTTGCAAAGTAGTTCACTTGGAAACAGTTTTAATAAACCCTATATATGAATATCACTGTTTGGATAATAGCAGGGCTGAAGTCCTCTTGCAAAGAATTCAGTATATTGAATTTCTGAGAATTCAGACAAGGTAGAAAACCTAAACTTTTCCTATAAATTAGAATAAATATAACAAATTTGAAATCATTAATAAAGAAATCATTAATAATGTGATTCTCATCTTTTACAGAAGTCATATGGTGGTGAGAGTCTGTGAAAGTGAAGAGGGTAGTCAAAGTAGAGAAAACTTCAGCCTTATTCCAAATCTCAATCTGAATGAGAAAACTGCAGCAAAACCATGTAAATATAGTGCATGCAGAAAAGTCTTCATGCATCATTCATCCCTTAATAGGCTCATTCAATGTCATACTGAACACAAAGCATATGACTATCACAAATATGGAGAGAAACCATATAAATGTAAGGAATATGAGAAAGCCTTCACTTTTCCCACTTCTCTCCAAATACGTATAAGAACTCAGACTAGAGAGAAACCGTATGAATGTAAAAAATGCAATAAAGCATTCACTGCTTCCAGTTCTCTTCGAATACATGAAAGAACTCACACAGGAGAGAAACCCTATGAATGTAAGGAATGTGGGAAAGCCTTTACAGCTCCCTCAAGCCTGCGATCACACATGATCTCTCACACTGGAGATGGACCTTATAAATGTAAGGAATGTCAGAAAGTATTCATTTCTCCCAGTGCTTTTCAAATACATGAAAGGAGACACACTGGAGAGAAACCCTATGAATGTAAAAATTGTGGCAAATCATTCAGTCATCCCAGTACTCTTCAGATACATGAAAGACGTCACACTGGAAAGAGACCCTATCAATGTGAGGAATGTGGGAAAGCCTTTATTGCTCTCACAAACCTTCGAGTACACATGATCACTCACACTGGAGACGGACCTTATAAATGTAAGGAGTGTGGGAAAGTTTTCATTCATCCCAGTTCATTTCGAATACATGAAAGGAGTCACACTGGAGAGAAACCCTATGAATGTAAAGAATGTGGGAAAGCCTTCAGTTTGTCCACTAACTTAAAAAAACACAAAAGAACTCACACAGGAGGGACACCCTTTGTATGTAAGGAATGTGGTAATGCTTTTAATTCTCTTCAAGTTTTCCAAATACATGAAAGAAATCACACTAGAGAGAAACCCTATGAATGTAAAAAATGCAACAAAGCACTCAGTTCTTCCAGTTCTCTTCGAAGACATGAAAGAAATCATACTGGAGAAAAACCTTATGAGTGTAAAAAGTGCAATAGAACATTCTGTTTTCCCAGTTCTCTTCGGGTACATGAAAGAATTCATACTGGAGAGAAACCATATGAATGTAAGGAATGTGGGAAAGCCTTTATAACTCCCTCAAGTCTTCGATCACACATGATCCTTCACACTGGGGTTGGACCTTATAAATGTAACAAATGTGAGAAAGTATTCATTTCTGTGAGTTCACTTCAAAAACATGAAAGGAGACACACTGGAGAGAAACCATATGGATGTAAAGAATGCAGTAAAGCATTCAGTTATACCAGTTCTCTTCGAAAACATGAAAGAACTCATACTGGAGAGAAACCCTATGAATGTCAAAAATGCAGTAAATCCTTCACTTCTTCCAGTTCTCTTCGAGTACATGAAAGAATTCACACGGGTGAGAAGCCCTATGAATGTAAGGAATGTGGGAAAGCCTTTATAGATTCCTCAAGCCTTCGATCACACATGATGTATCACATGGAATCTAGACCTTATAAATGTAAGGAATGTGAGAAAGCATTTATTTATCCCAGATTACTTCAAAGACATGAAAGAACTCACACTGGAGAGAAACCCTATGAATGTAAAGAATGTGGGAAGGCCTTCATTTCCCATCAAAGTTTCCAAATACATAAAAGAAATCATATAGGGGAGAAACCTTATAAATGTAAAAAATGTAGTAAAGCATTTAGTTTTCCCAGTTCTCTTCGAAAACATGAAAGAACTCATATTGGAGAGAAATCCTGTGAATGTCAAGAAAGTTGGAAAGCCCTTGTTTCTCATGCAGACTTTTGAGGATATGTGAGAATGCACACTAGAAGAAAAGCTATATATACGTTATGAATGTGGGAAGGCCTTTTGTCATTCCAGTTCTTTTTTAATGTATAAAAGGAGTTACTTAATAAAAATGTCTTGAATGTAAACAGCGTGGGAGAGACTTCAAATGGCCTACATCCTTATATGTGAAACTCTCACCAAAAATAATATGAGAAAGCTTGATTGAAATTGTGTATGAAACTTGTGTATGATGTTCTAGAAAACTTTCAGTATAAAAGAGTTGTTATAAAAGTTGTAAATATATTGTGTTTAGCAAGCCTCTTTCCTAAAGTCCAACATTGGATTGTGGATTTCTATTAATTTGTTTCAGAAATGAATATTGAGGTGAGATAATTCTGCAATTCATCCTTCATCAATAATACATAACATTAATGGCTAGTGCTTTTTCCGTAAGTCAGTGAATAATATTTTTTCTTTGTTTTTAAAAGGTTTTAATTGTTCTGTGTTAAGGGGCCACTGAAAAATGAGTTTGTATTTGTTGGGAGTTTCTTACTGGCCTTGTATTGCAGTTCCTGGTTATGCCTCATCCATTGTATGTATTGCTCTTTTCTTAGAGAAAGATACTTTTTTGGGGTGGTTGGTATAGAAGAGCCTGTTTCTATTTTCCGTACTATTAAACAGCTGGAACAAAGTTTTATGTGTGGCAAGTTTATCAAAGACTATAGTTTCATGGGAATTCTTATTTTCCTATTTGGGTCTTTGCTATTTGTCCTTCCTTCTGACTGGTATTTGGTGAATAGACTTTGAATTAAGTAGATGCCTGTGATGGGGCAACAAAATCTAGAGCTGGACACATCACCCTGTATTGCATTATGTCAGTGAGGGTAATGTGAAGAACTACATCTTTAAGAATCCACCCCCTTTATGGTTCCATGTTGGAATTCCCCAGTAGCCTCACTTGCATGAGATTTGGAGCAGAAGCAAATAAGGCATTCGGCAGGTTTTGAAGCCACCACACAGGGAGAGAGACAGTTATGTAGGAGCTTTGAGGACAACACATTCCATTCCATTTTATGGGTTCTTTCCCCCTTCTAGTCAAGATCATCTTGAAAACCATTCCCAACTGTTTGATTCCCATTTTCCTAGAGGTGTATTTTCTACTGATATTTTCCCAAGTTTCACATCAAAGATCCATTAGAGTTAGGATTTTTCTGTAAGGCCTCTTATGTCCACCAGGAAACTAATTCAGACTTTTGTGGTTGGGAGTGTTCTCTGATCCCCCCCTTCTCTAGATGATATCTGTATAAGGTCTAATGTGTATGGGAAACACTTTATGCTGTTAATAGTGCTAGTGAGCCTGTTTCCCTGATTCACCATGACGTCTACAATGGGGCATAAAAAGAAGGACATGGGAGTTTGTTTCTCTGCTGCACTGTGCAGTGGCTTCCTTGACCCAGTTCTTTCACATGAGAGCAATCATCTTTCTCATGTCAGGAAGACTGTGTGTTTCCTGTTACTTGTAGCTGCACATGTCCTCTCAATATATTTTCAATAATGTTTGATTGTATGTCATTAAAAGTACATTCATCATAGATTTATCCTTGTGAAATAAACACTTCTGTGGTGGTTTTATTGATCTATCAACTGTTCTAACCCACTGTATGCTAATAAATATTGTGGTTTTCATTTCCTCAGAATATACTAAAATCCATTTAACTAGGAATTTTAAAATATACATTGCAATTTTCTTCATTTGATCATTATATATTATGAGTCAGTTTTATCATGTGTGTTCAAATTCAGGTATTTTTTCCTTTGTGTTTTTTATTCTTTTATAGTGATAACTTTTACCACAAATTTAACTTGTCCTTCAGTCTTAACACAAAACTTAAAAATCATGTTTTTTCAGTGCCCTCTTGCCAGTGACCTGCAGGATTGCACCTGCAGTCAAAGAGAGGGGTGTAAGGAATTCTAGTAAGAATGACCACAGACCATAAAGGACTGTGAGGTGTAACAGTAACACGGTGCTCAAAGGACTGCTTATAAGATTATGGCCTGTGTTTGTGGATTTGATTTCTATTCAAGGAAGCAGGTCACTTTCTGTATTGAATGCTGTGAAGAGGTCAACTTAATTCTATCTTTGGTAAACATTTTATCTTTGGTAAATGTAATCATTGTTTTCCACAAGGCAAAATCAATGTAGTAGGCATAAAGCTATTTTGTAAGAAGTTCTAGTCAGTCATTTTAGTAAGAAGAAGGGAATATTAGTGATTTTTGTGATTTGGAATTTTATCTCTTACAATTTTTACTGGTGTGGTTAGGAAATATTTTAGTTTTGTCTTGGTAACTGTGCACCTTTGATGAAGGAGGTGTGTGACATTTGTCTCTTCAGCAGGATAAGACTTAGCCTTGCAGTGGCTGCAGGCCAGGTCCTAGTCCTCTGGAACAGCTTTGGTTTCCTCCTTATTATCAACACACTAATGAACTTCCTATGGTGTGTAAGACACTCTTTGCCATAAACTACCTCAGTTAAAATACATAAATTTACTTTTCAGTATACTGTGTATTATTTTTTAATATCTCCTTTATGACTCAACTGAGGCCTTAGAGTTTAGGTAAATTGTGAGACAATACACACCTAGCAAGGGAGAGAGACAGGACCACGGTGCCAATCCAGCCTTTCTTTCTCAGAGACTGTGCTTTTGATGCTAATGTTTCAGCATCCCTCACCTGCCATGCACTGTAGAGTCAGTGTACCCAGTGTAGCAGAAATAAGGCGTGGTAGGATGTGGATATAGTGGCATGAAACAAGTTCTTGCTGTCAGGTGCTTATATGTTTGTGGGAAAAGAAAGATGATTAAAAAGTGGTAAAGCTTTGTTTTATAAGATGGAATAAGGGCTTTGAAGGAAACTAAAGAATAGCATTGAGCCAATAGGGAGGCTGAGGTGCATATGTATCTTTTCTGTGAGGGTAGGAGTGAGCGAGGATGTCATTATTATTGTTATCTGGGACTGGAGACTTCCTGTTGATTTAGGCCACAGATAATTCTGGTGTCTTTTTGTGCTTAATATCTTTTGAGAGGATTTTTATTTACCTTTAAATATTTAAAATATGGTCTTTTGCATATTCAGTTTTCTGCTCTACAAACTTGAATGTGCAATATATACTCCATTCACCGTGGAGTTCCTCCCATGTAGAGAAGCGGTTGCCTTCATCTGTCCTGTTCTAGCTCATCCTGAGTGAATTCTGAGTAGAATGACATCTCTGTGAGTCCGCTGTGATCTCCCCGTGGAAACAGCACAAAGAGCTCTAGCTGGTTAGAGGCAACCATCCCAGGAATAATTGAGTGAGCTGCAGAGAGAGGGTGTCATTTTTAGTAACATCCTAATTGAGTATAAAAGAAGAAATAGGAAATAATCACTGTCTTTTTTAGCAGGAGTGGCCGGAAGTCTTTAGTTTCAATGATCCACAATGCCCCAGAGCACATTTAAGCTGTTCACAGGTTTCATTTCCATGTGCGTAAATGTCCAGCTATCTTGCGGAAAAGTCAGAAACAACAATAACAGCGACAAGGTTTGATAAAGCACAGAGAAATTGTTACTCTTCCATTTTTCTTTAGTGTTAACTTGTATATTGGAGGAGTGTCTTTCATATGAGCACACGAGTGTTTTTTGATGATGGCATGTTTTCCATTTTTTGATGACAGGATTGCTATACATTTGTGACAATTCACAATCGTGCCTGAAATACTATATATAATTAATAGAAAATGAATAACAGAATCACTTTCACATGTTAGGAGAATGTTAAATTCTCCTGACCCTTGATTTTTGTGCATTCAACACTTCTTTCTAGCACTGTGGGATTCTTCTTAGGAAGAATTGAAGTATTGAAAAGAAGAATTCATTCTTCAACAGGGCTTTCTTGCAACCCTGTCTTCATTGAGAAAACACCCCCTAGAGTTGCACTTGCCCTCCTCCCATCTCATAGTCATAACTAGGAGTGAAGTGAGAGGGCTCCCAGAATCTGAGTTTAAATCAGGTTCTGTGGACAGATGTGTAGAAATGCTGTGGTTCTGAAACAAAAAGGTGTCTCCTAAGTGGGATCTGTCTGGGGACGTCCTCACTCATGTGCATCAGCCTCATTGCCTTCCATTATTATCCATAGACTGTTTCCAGCTCTTCATTTCCCAACTCAAGCCTACTTGTGCCTTCTTACATGGAAACAGCTTTAGAAATCCATGCAGATCTCACTTTGGAAAATTTCCACCAGACAATGCTGGGGGCCTGTGAGCTGAGAGGATCACAGAGGCAGTGGTAGAACCCATGTCATGGGCACGTTCTGTCAGTCACCGTGACCAGAAACAGCACGTTTATCAGATCTGCTTGCTTACTTATTCAGCCGTACTTTAATGTGACTGACATTGAACAGGGAAACATAGCTCTAGAATTTGTCAAAATAAGTCCCTCCATTAGCATCTCCCTCCACACACTCCTTTCCCGTAGAGGCTTCAGCAGCCTCCTGTGATGCATCTAAGAGTCTCCAAACCTCTCCTGGTGGATGTAAATTGCCCAAGGCATTCTTCTACTGGAACTCTTCTCATCCAGTGCTGCACATAATTGGAGAAGCCACTGCTGGCAACTGACAGAGTCTTTTTGTAAATGGAGGCCCTCCCAGGGCCTGAGTTGATGATCCTCCACAGCCAGCTTCCCTTTGGGTCATGAATGCAGGACCCCTCAGGCCTGCTAACCAGAAGCCTCCTCATTGAAGAGATGGGTAGTTACAGCACTGAGCCAAAAATGGCGGTTCTGGCGTATCACCCTACAGGAGGAAGTGTGTTCCCCTCTTCTGTGATTGATGTAATACATTCAGGAGGAGGTGCCCTCCTTTTTACACACATTGGCACTTTAGGAGTGACTTGGGGGCACATGGATGACCAGGGAGTTCATATACTTTATGCACAGTGTGTACCACCACACCTGATGGGTCCACGGCAGAGTTGCTGTGTTCTTCCCCAGATCAAACAGGCCAGCCCTGATCACGGATTGGATCAGATTGATGAGTCAAACCCCAGGCAGTCATGCCAGCAATGTTGAATCCCCTGGCCAAGAATCAAACTCATCTGCACATTTTTATAAAAGATTTGTGGCCTTTGCCAATGATCTAGCTTTCTCATCCCACCAATAGCAATAGCTGCTTATCCAAGGCTCATTTCATTGCTCAGGGTGATAAATTCACTCAAATTTCTGAGACACATACTGACTCCTCAGACCTGATGGCCCCTGGGCCCCTGTGATATGGAACCATTAAGAGGCCTCTAACCTAAAGGCCTAGGCAGAATCAAGGAACTTCCCTCCCCTTTCCCATATAACTTAGTGACTGACCAATGAACCTGATATGAAAAAAAACATGTCACAGGTAATAGAATCCATGCTCATTAAGTCCAGGTGGAGGAAGGGACCCTATAGCTGATGGCAGATAGACTTTGTCGGGCTGCTCACCCCCTCTGCTGGGCTGCTTGCTATGCTCAGACCACGGTAGGACCTTTTATACACAAATTACCCCTCCTGTCTTACGTGATCCTCCTGAAGCGAGAATCAAGGACTCACCAAGACACTCTAGAAATTATTGATTTTATCAACTAATGTCTCAAAATATAAAACATTATGCTCTTGACAAAGCTATTCAAT